AAATTTCCTGCAATTAATTTATAAATTTAATTAAATCCCAATCAACAGACCAGGACAATTTTAGAGAAATTAGATAAAAAGATTTCCTCATTATATAAAGTTTGTAACATTAAGCAAATCTTGCATTCTTGGAATAAAAGTAGGTTGGCTAGTTTCGGGGCTTTTTTTCATCTTTTTAAAATAAATTTCTTGATGGGATTTGATGCTTTCTTCACTTAGGATTTTTTGCATTTATATTTGCAATTTAGGCCTGTGATTTTCCATATTTGTACTGTCCTCATCTAATTTTTGTTTATAATTCATGCTAGTTTCTTACATCAGTTATTCTTTTTATTTCTTTTTTTCTAGGATTTTGTGGAAACTTGGAATTGCACATAAAGCCCTATGGCCCTAGTATGTATGTGTGTATTTATTTTGCAGGGAAAGATTTTTTAGTTATCGAGTCAAAATCTTTCCTTTAATGACTATATGAATAGTTTGGCTATCTATTTATTCTTCAATCCATTTTTTTTGTGTGTGTGTATTTATTCAGTTCTTCAAAGTTTCAATAATACTGTAAGAAATTTGTTCTGAATATATTCATTAATTTAATTACTGCTACATCTCTCTATATTTTTATTCCTACTCTGACTCATTCATACATTCTCTGTGTTTTTGATTAACCTTGCCATTGGTTTTCCATTATTCTTTTCATCATTCTCTTTTTAACGAGTCAACATTTAGCTTTGCATACTTTCCATAATTTTACCATTTTTGTTATTGGGTTTCTTCTTTTTTCTTTGTATTTATTTTGCTTTTGTTTTTCTAAATTCTTAATTCGTATATTTAGATAACTAATTATGAATCCCTCTTTTTTTTAATGTAACAAAAGCTATTGATTTCCCTTTAAATAATGACGTGGCTTTTTCTCAGACATGTGAAGATAATTTTAACGATAAAATTTTAAATGAAATATTTGTAAATATTTTCTAATTTCCTGGATATGTATTTGACATATCACCTTCTGACTTTGTTTATCCTCACTAACTAAACAGTAAAACATTTGTTTTAAGGAGTCAGCCATTATCTTGTTAAATCTTTTGTCACTTCCCATACATACCTTGGGCCATCTCTCCTTAAAAGAATGCTTAAAATTCTGCCCACTAAGGTGATTGGCCTTCACCCTTCCCATATTGGGATTAGAATGCAGCAGCTCTCCAAATTGTATCAACATCTCATTCAAGTCTACTCATAAACCAGAGCTACATTTTTTTCTCTTCCATTAGATGGTCATAGGGAAGAACGCCTGGATCCATAAATATAGATTATGGGAAAGACAAGGAATCTATAGAAACAGGCATAATGGGAATACCAAG